TTGTTGGACTGTGGCTACACATGGCATGCTGCTGTCTGACTGTGGCTACACATGGCATGCTGCTGTTTGACTGTAGCTACACATGGCATGCTGCTGTTGGACTATGGCTACACATGGCATCCTGCTGTTGGACTGTGGCTACACATGGCATGCTGCTGTCTGACTGTGGCTACACATGGCATGCTGTTGTTGGACTGTTGCTACACATGACATGCTGTTGTCTGACTGTGGCTACACATGGCATGCTGCTGTTGGACTGTGGCTACACATGGCATGCTGTTGTTGGACTATGGCTACACATGGCATGCTGCTGTTGGACTGTGGCTACACATGGCATGCTGTTGTTGGACTGTGGCTACACATGGCATGCTGTTGTTGGACTGTGGCTACACATGGCATGTTGTTGGTCTGCGGCTACACATGACATGCTGTTGTTGGTCTGTGGCTCCACATGGCATGCTGTTGTTGGACTGTGGCTACACATGACATGCTGTTGTTGGACTGTGGCTACACATGGCATGCTGTTGTTGGACTGTGGCTACACATGGCATGCTGTTGTTGGACTGTGGCTACACATGGCATGCTGTTGTTGGACTGTGGCTACACATGGCATGCTGTTGTTGGACTGTGTTGTCTGACTGTGTTGTCCGACTGTGTTGTCTGACTGTGTTGTCTGACTGTGTTGTCCAACTGTGTTGTCTGACTGTGTTGTCTGACTGTGTTGTCTGACTGTGTTGTCCGACTGTGTTGTCCGACTGTGTTGTTTGACTGTGTTGTCCTACTGTGTTGTCCTACTGTGTTGTCCGACTGTGTTGTCCAACTGTGTTGTCTGACTGTGTTGTCCGACTGTGTTGTCTGACTGTGTTGTCTGACTGTGTTGTCTGACTGTGTTGTCCAACTGTGTTGTCTGACTGTGTTGTCTGACTGTGTTGTCTGACTGTGTTGTCTGACTGTGTTGTCTGACTGTGTTGTCTGACTGTGTTGTCTGACTGTGTTGTCTGACTGTGTTGTCTGACTGTGTTGTCTGACTGTGTTGTCCGACTGTGTTGTCTGACTGTGTTGTCTGACTGTGTTGTCTGACTGTGTTGTCTGACTGTGTTGTCTGACTGTGATGTCTGACTGTGTTGTCCGACTGTGTTGTCCGACTGTGTTGTCTGACTGTGTTGTCTGACTGTGTTGTCTGACTGTGTTGTCTGACTGTGTTGTCTGACTGTGCTGTCTGACTGTGTTGTCTGACTGTGCTGGCTGACTATGTTGTCTGACTGTGTTGTCTGACTGTGTTGTCTGACTGTGCTGTCTGACTGTGCTGTCTGACTGTGCTGTCTGACTGTGTTGTCTGACTGTGTTGTCTGACTGTGTTGTCTGACTGTGCTGTCTGACTGTGTTGTCTGACTGTGTTGTCTGACTGTGCTGTCTGACTGTGCTGTCTGACTGTGTTGTCTGACTGTGCTGTCTTACTGTGTTTTCTGACTGTGCTGTCTGACTGTGTTGTCTGACTGTGCTGTCTGACTGTGTTGTCTGACTGTGTTGTATGAGTGTTGCCTGACTGTGTTGTCCGATTGTGGCTATGTCTATATTTATATCTGTGTTTATAATTGCCATTTTTCAGATGAGGCAAATTAAGAACAATTATAGATTTACAATAGATATTTGACATACAAAATATTCCTGATTGCCTCAATATCTAATAATTTAACTATAATAAGATATGATATGTTATTCCTCTATTTTTTCCGAGTACAAACGAACTGGTAAATATGTAAGCAAAAACTTTGTTGTCAGTGCTAATTCGTAAAATGTGTGGAAATTATACTATGTGTTCAAACTTTGACGTCAATGATACTGTGTAATTCATAGAATGTGTAGAAATTATACTACGTGTTCAAACTTTGACGTCAATGATACTGTATAATTAATATAATGTGTAGAAATTATACTATGTGTTCAAACTTTGACGTCAATGATACTGTGTAATTAATGGAATGTGTTGAAATTATACCATGTGTTCAAACTTTGACGTCAATGATACTGTGTAATTAATAGAATGTGTAGACATTATACTATGTGTTCAAACTTTGACGTCAATGATACTGTGTAATTAATAGAATGTGTAGAAATTATACTATGTGTTCAAACTTTGACGTCAATGATACTGTGTAATTAATAGAATGTGTAGAAATTATACTATGTTCAAACTTTGACGTCAATGATACTGTGTAATTAATAGAATGTGTAGAAATTATACTATGTGTTCAAACTTTGACGTCAATGATACTGTGTAATTAATAGAATGTGTAGAAATTATACTATGTGTTCAAACTTCTTTGACGTCAATGATACTGTGTAATTAATAGAATGTGTAGAAATTATACTATGTGTTCAAACTTTGACGTCAATGATACTGTGTAATTAATAGAATGTGTAGAAATTATACTATGTGTTCAAACTTCGACGTCAATGATACTGTGTAATTAATAGAATGTGTAGAAATTATACTATGTGTTCAAACTTTGACGTCAATGATACTGTGTAATTAATAGAATGTGTAGAAATTATACTATGTGTTCAAACTTTGACGTCAATGATACTGTGTAATTAATAGAATGTGTAGAAATTATACTATGTGTTCAAACTTTGACGTCAATGATACTGTGTAATTAATAGAATGTGTAGAAATTATTCTATGTGTTCAAACTTTGACGTCAATGATACTGTGTAATTAATGGAATGTGTAGAAAATATACTATGTGTTCAAACTTTGACGTCAATGATACTGTGTAATTAATAGAATGTGTGGAAATTATACTATGTGTGCAAACTTTGACGCCAGTACTTCTCTATAGCTCGTAAAATTTGTGGAAATTGTGCTGTGACTATCACAATGATTACTTTAGAAAAGCGTCAGTTGTCTACGGTTACAGTGAATAAAATCACCTTTCCCTGGATGACCTTTCTGGAAATATTATATTACTTGAATATTATAACAAATGACGTCATCTGTCCGTTTCCAAGAAACAAATGACGTCATGTCCATCTTTTAAAAAAAAAACTATGATGAATCTACTGGAGCTGTCTCTGGACAAAATAATTTTAAATGGAGACGCAGCTTTTTACAAGCAGTACATTACATAGACAATTAAAATTATGTGAAATATAATTTTGGATACATATGTATCTCAACATCTGTTTGGTTGTTTACTCCGCATGACTACTTCGTGAATTAATGGATCTGGACCCAATTTGGTGCATATACCCTTCATTATCCGAATTGAACTTCTGGGTTAGACTGACCTGAGCCTTGAACTCTTAGCACACATTTAAAACTCATGAACAACAAATTTAAGCGATTTTTGTTAGATTTGAGAAACTGATCAAATGTACAACTGATCAAATGTACAACTCGTCAAATGTAAAACTGATCAAATGATAAAACAGATCAAATGATAAAACTGATCAAATGTACAAATGAAAGATTCAGTTTTGAAACAAACTATGTTCGATTCTATTGCCGATGATATATTGTTGTACGACTATTTCCTGTGTAGCAAAAATAATATGTTTTTGAATGACTGTCTTCAGTGTAGCAATAATTATAATATGGTTGTATGAATATTTTTCAAGTATGGCATTAATGATATGTGATTGTATGACTATTTCCAGGGTAACAATAATGATATGTGTTTGTATGACTATTTCAGATGTTGTATGTTGTACCTGAAAAATAGAGTGCAACAAAACGAACGTGTCGGCAGGAAACCTTCGTCAGCGAGCAAAGAAAAGAAAAAAAAATATATTTAAAAATAGCACTTAGCTGAGAAGTAGAATCCGATCGGGAAGCAAACCAATTTTGTTGCGTTTCCATTTTTTTTTATGTTTGACCTTACTTTGTTTTACTCATTTCCTTAATTTTATTTTAGAAATGTTGATGAACAGAAGACACCAGTGATCACCAGGAAGCGGATTCCCCGTTTCTTATGAATTGGTTCAACTTAATGTAATTGAAATGCTTTAAACATTGAAATCAAATTATTTGGAACATTTTTTATCTTAGGAATTGATATTGGCTGGCTCCACAAACAAGAGGACGATTGGTGGATAGAGGATTATCTGCAGTACTTCGGTAAGTTTAGTTAAATTCTCTTCACATTGTGCATTCATTCCGTCTTTATTTTTGATTCATCGATTGTTTAAATAATCACAATCACTAGCTCACAATCCCTTGCTCACAATCACTTGCTCACAATCACTAGCTCACAACCACTTCATCAATCAAACAGGAAATCTAAATCTTCTAAGTAATCAAAGGAGACATAGTTATTGAATAGTCCGATTGTTTGAATTTATGTCTCTCCACTTAAAATATTGAATGCCATTTTTACACAATGGCTCAAACCATTGTAAATACAATGGATCAAATCCATTTGAAACGCAATGTGTAAAATACATTTAAACACACAATGGATTAAATCATTTTAAACACAATGGATCAAATCATTTTAAAAACAATGGACTAAATCATTTTAAACACAAGAGATCAAATCCATTTCTTGAAATATTTGAATTTTTACGAATTCATAAACAATAATGTGAATAAATTTATGTTTTAGGAAATATATTTAATTTAATTATAATTGTTTATATTTTCTTTCCCTATCATTCTGACTTCAGTAAGTAGGACTTTACATTAGTTCAATATATATATATATCTATTAAATTCTCCTTTTATAATGAATATTCCCAGGTCCTAACAACAACACCAAGCTATGAATGGAATGGAACTCATATTTTTATTTTCTCTCACATCCCTAAGAATACTTTCATCATTATCCGTCGTCCGAGATGATAATGTTGAGTTCTATGATTCACGCCAGGACAATTGTGATCTAGAACTGTATCAGGGCAAGAGTCAGTTAGAATGTGCCCCTTTAACTGGGGATTTATACCACAGCCAGTGGCATGGTACAATGGCCAAGAACAAGACTACACAAACGACCAGTTGTTGTAGATTATGCTGTAATGGACAAGTCGCTGATTGTGGTCGCTGTAATCTTACAGAAGTCCCACAAGATTTACCTGACAACATTACACACCTTCTTTTAAATTATAATAATATCTCTAGCAGCGCCCTCTACCCTGGAGTGTTAGCCAACTATTCCAAACTCCTCGTCCTTCAGATGGATTGCAATAATCTCACAGTTCTACCTGAAGGACTATTTTATGGTTTGAGCTCTCTAATTCAACTCAGTCTTTACAACAACAACATTTTGATGGACTCGGCACTAAATAGGTCAACCGTGTTTGCTCCGTTGGGAAACACTTTAAAGATTCTTGTCATGAACAGGAACAATCCCAACACGTCATCAGACCAGTTGATGTACCCAGACTTTGCCCTGTCTTTTCTGACCAAACTGACCGTACTGCACATGGATGGGCTGATGAACAAGACGTTTGATCAAGGGTTCTCAAACTTAAAAGAATTGAGGAATTTAAAATTGGCAGGTTTCAAGTGTGGCTATTGTAACATCCATTTACTAAGTAACGAAACATTTCAGTTCTTGACAAGTCTGCACGACCTAAACGTGTCTGATTGTGGAATACAAGGGAAAATCATTGAAAATGGTGCTTTTGAGAAATTAACAGAGTTAAGGTCCTTGGATGTATCTAATAATTTTGATCTTGGCCTTTCCGCTCTCGGTAACGTCATGTATAGTTTTAGAAACAGTCCAAATTTACGTCATTTAAAATTGCAAAAGATCGGGACTCGCTTTGCTGCTTGTATTGTTGTCTACAAACACACACTGCGACATTTCAAGAACACTAGTCTGGAGGTGATTGAAGCCATGGACAATGAGATTGAGATGATTGAATTTGGGGCCATTCAAATGTTGCCCACGACACTAAGGATACTCAACCTCACCAACAACAGAATCATGTTTGGTGCCTACTGGAGGGACATGGGCTACCTGAAAGGACTTCAAAGCTTACACTTGGACGGCATTCCTACCCCTTATAGATTCGCACCCAATTTTCCTACAAAAATCCTTCACTGCAAAACACCGCCTACCGAGGACGATAGCGATATTAAAGGAGAGCCTGACGATCCTTTCATCCTGCCGTTGCCACCAACTTTAACCGAACTCACCATGCACAGCAACTCACTGGCGTACAAAGTGAACAACATTAGCTTTAGTGACAACAACAGCTTGGAGCATGTTGATATTAGTGGTAACATGTTCAATTTTTTAATTGGTCCTGTCACGGGACTTCACAGTCTCAAAAATTTGTCAATGTCAAGCTGTTTTATAGAAACTATCGAAAATTCGTTCTTCAAAACTCTGACAAACCTACAATATCTGAATCTTTTTCAGAATATGCTAGGAGACTGTCTGAACAAAAATAATGATATCTTTGAGCCTTTGATTAATTTAACTTATTTGAACATTTCTTTCAACAACTTATACCGTCTTAGTAACGAAAGCTTCAAATCTTTGAGAAGATTAGAAATTTTAGATTTATCCACTAACAGACTTGGCAATATTCACTTTAGTATAGCGCACATGCCAAACTTGAAACTTTTGGATCTTCATAAAAATCAGATTGGTTCATTACATAAACACATTCGAACAGCCATCAACGGACTCCTGGCCGCTAACAAAACTTTTCACATGGACATGCGGAACAACCCAATCCTCTGTGAATGCGACAACCTGGAGTTCCTAGAGTGGGTTGTAGAGACCAATATTTTTGGTGCCCCATCTGAGGATTATTATTGCAAATATGACAGTGCTAATCAGGTTTCAGTGGAGATGCCAGACGGGTATGAAGACGAAGTGAGAAAACTGCGACGGATGTGTAAAACAAATGTTGGACTATTTGTCGCCGTGGTTGGCGCCACATTAGCTGTCTTGGTGTCTCTTCTAGGGGTCATTATGTACAGATTCAGGTATAGACTGTGTGTTCTAGCGAACTTTTTATAAATCATTAAATTGTTCAAAGTTTTTTTGACATTATCATAAATAATTAGTTTCATGTGATGTATATCTTGGTCATTTGTTTGTTGGGGGTTGGGGGGGGGGTTTGAGAGGTCGGAAACAAGCATATCCGTAAATTTGTAAATGTATTCTTCACATTGTTTCTTGTTTTTTAAAAATATAACCTATTTTGTAGCCATTCCGTTGGAAGGAGCTGCAAATGGTTTTGATTACCGCATGTGGTACGATTCAAAAGGCAAGTCTCTATCGTATGGAACTGGTTTCTTATGTCTAAGGTCCCATTGTTATCTCTGCACAAGAGATATTGTCTTAATATTTAAACAGGCAAAATAGTTAAAGTCAAGCCTAAATATAGTATCACTTTCCAGGTGGACGCTAAGATATTGGTACCATGCTGCCAAGTTTTATGTCAATCACAAAGCAAGCCCAGAGATGTATGAATACGATGTGTTCATCAGTTATGAGAACGGGGATGTCAAATTTGTGTTGGAGGTTAGAGGTCATGTTTCCAACCTTTTCCTTGCTGTTTTTTCATGTAATAAAATTTGAAATACATTAAATATGATTAAGTTAACAAATGTTGCTCGGGTTACTGTGTAACAGGAGGGTAAAATAATAGTGTAGTATATTCAATGTCAAAAATGTTTTTGTAATTGTGCAACAACTTCTTTCAGAATAAATGTTTGAAATGACACAACTGTTGATTATTTCAGGAGTTGTGCCCAAAGCTGCGAGACGAGAGAAAGATCAAGGTTTTGATTCATGGGGAAAACTTCCAAGTCGGTCGTCAAATCGCTGATAACATTTACATGGCAGTCACTCAATGTCGTAAAACTTTGGTCATTTTGACGCGGCGTCTGCTGGCCAGCAAATGGTGCACGTATGAACTACAAGTGAGTCACAAAGATGTTTTAAATCATGTGGGGAATTTATTTTATGAATTTAAATGTTGTTTTTTTTAGGTAAAACAAATTTTGTAGTAAAAATACAAGTTTAATAATAATACTTACAATATATATATATTGTAAGTTTTACCTTTAAAAAATGCCAAAGTTTTTAAAAACTGCACATTACCTAAAACACATTTTATAAAATCAAGAAAATTAAGATATAAAGCAAAATTTATTGAATCATAACTGCAAAGCATATGTTTTGCATATGTTCGCAGATGGCACGACTAGAGGCCATCAATACTGGACGCAACGTGTTGATCTTCCTTCTCATGGATGAGATCCCAACTCATGAGATAAATGTTGAAGTCATGTCTTATATCAAGTCTAGTACGTACATAGCTTATCCCAAGGATCCTAAGCACAGAAAGTCATTCTGGGACAAGTTGGCTCATGATATTAAGGCGTCATAAACTATTAGTTGGTTCTTTACATCCCGATAAACTTGTAAGATGAGAGCATAGAACTGAAGACACTTGAAAGATAACTATAGCGGTAATTGGGCTACTGTGTAGGATATCACTGATAACTTAGTGTTTTACAACAGAAAACTGAAGACAACTGTCAGCTAGTTAGTTACATGAATTACATACTTACAGGATAATGATGGACAATGTTGAAGTAATGCATGGTGAATGATATGCTTACCATGACAATGATGAATTACATACGTACCTTGACAATCATGAATGAACTATATACCAGTACAATGATGAATGAAATACTTACCAGGACAAGGATTAATGACCTATTTAACAGGACAATGATGAATTACATACTTACCATGACAATGATGAATGACCTACTTAATAGGACAATGATAAATTACATACTTACCAGGACAATGATTTAGGATCTACTTATCAGGACAATGATGAATGACTTACTTACCGTGATAATGAGGAATGAAAAACTTACCAGAATAATGATGAATGACCTACTTACCAAGGCAATGATAAATAACTAGGCTAATGATAAACTGCGTTGAAGTTTTTGATTGAAATCGAAAATAAACATATATATTTCATTTTTTGACATATGCATTGGCAACATTTATTTTTTAAATACATTTATGAAGTCCAGTGCTACGAAATTGACCATCTGTAAGTGTGTAGTCCACAAGCCACGACCTTTGACCCATCCAATCAAAGTTACTGAAACAATGACGCCGATTTTGATACTTTATTAGCCTGACCTCCTCGCTCAAAACCAGGGTTTCTTTCAGCTACATCTCCGGGGGGCACTACCCCCGGGGAAACCCAAGTGCCCCCCGGAGCAAAAATATGTTCAACAATAAATCAATTGGCACTGCTGGCAATGCCACCCCCCTCGAAAAATCTGAAGTGCCCCCCCCACCCCAGGGGAAAATTTCTGAAATAATCACTGCTCAAAACCCCCAAACTCTACCCACCATCTCTCCTTCGCTACTTTTCCCCCGCTAAATCCTGTCCCACTCTACCCCCACACCATTTGTTTCACTTTATCACCAATACTGTAAGGGCCAAACTGTGGGCCCTAATTCTATATGACATTAATTTGTTTTATAGATCTCATTAAAAATATTTGTAGGAGCCGAATTCCTTCCATAATCCGTAATCTCAGGGGAAGAAAATCTATATAAAGTCAAAATAAATATTCTTCATTTTTTTAGAAAACGTAAGGACTGCGATAAAAACTTCAAGTATATTATTAGACCAGTTTCTATAAACAAAACAATATAGTCTAAGCTTTAATTATGGTTACACAAAAAAAGCAAATTGAAACTGTTTTAGGAAATGCCTTCACCAGTAAGCCTACAGCATTTATACTAATCTGAATAAAATTTGCATTATTTGTATGTATATATCCCATCATAGGCGGATAACATTGAAAACATAAAAATACCGGCAATTCTTGCGACGTTAATGGTGCCAAGGTGTAAAATCTACATATGATGTTCCCTTGGATTATCTGTCTGTCTGTCTGTCTGTCTCTGTCTGTCTGTCTGTCTGTCTCTGTCTGTCTCTCTCTCTCTCTCTCTCTATATATATATATATATATATATACATATATATATATATGTATATGTATATATATATATATTGTGACGAAATGGAGCCGACATGAAAAATACCATTTACTCACACAGACCTACTCAGACCCACCCCCCCCCATATATATATATATATATATATACATATATATATATATGTATATGTATATATATATATATTGTGACGAAAAGGAGCCGACATGAAAATTACCATTTCCTCCCACCGACCTCCCCAGACCCCCCCCCCCCCCATTCAAGAATTAGATAACTACCTTCGCAACGTTGTTTTGCATATGCTTCACCATTATGCCAAATACATGTAAATATATTACCTATTTCATTAACTAAGTGGCGGACCACTTCAGGCAGAAGTGTTACAGGCAATGGGCTGACAACACGACCGCCAGAGGCGTCTATTCAAACTTGCCCCCTCCTAGCAAACAAGACCCATGGTGGGGGTTAGGACGCAGATCGCAGAGTCTAGTGACGCAGATGCGCACCGAGCACTGCCCCTTGCGCACATATTTCTCTGGATAACAACAGAGATCCTACCTGCCGGCATTGCAGCCTGGCCCCGGAGACCCTAGAGCACCTGTTGACTGAATGTCCCTCACTAGATCTCCCGGGGGAAGCCAGGGCGGTTGGAGGATCCTTTGTGAGGGAAATGTTGTATGGCTCAGCTCAACAGATGGAGTTGGTAGCCAATTTACTAGCCCGGGGTCATAAGAGCATAATCTCAGACCCTCACCAGGATATGTGTGTTAGTTAGTAGATCGAAGAGAGTGTACTATTGTATCTGACAGGGAGCAGACATCCTATTATTTTTCTCTCACATGGATTATTGAAGTATTGAAGTATTGTGATTCAATTGTGATGTGGAATACTGTATAAATGTGTAACTATTGCATACTAGAATCATTATTGCAGGATATCCTCCTAGCAAGGCTTATTATTGATGTGGTTATAAAATGTAATAAAGTACTGTGTAAATTTATTCATTGACCATTATTATTACTCATTGAGTGAGAGAGGAGCAGATGTGGATTGATCGTAATGCAAATGATAGCGGCAGGCCATCGATGACAATAGTAATAGTTAACCACGTTATATCTTCAATAGATTAGCATGCGTTACAATTTTCAGGTTATATTTAATTATAAAAGCATAACTTTTTATAGGTGGTAATAGGTGGACTAGGTGATAATTATACATATTTTTTGTGGCATCGTGCTTAACAAACATAGTGTTTAGCATGGTTTTAGAAATATGCGTAAGTTCTTTTTTTTCTTTAAACGTGATGTTAGCAGTGATTCGCTGTGATGGGAAACGGTTTTTTTGGAAGGTCTTTTTTTCTCAATTCTTTTATTTATCAGGTAGTTAGTTTACCCCCAAAATATTGATAAAAATTACATAATATTTGGTAATAATTTTTTTTAGAACACAATCTTGACATGCAGAGAACTCCCTTAATGTTCGATGCCATCCTTCCCTAAACTTGCATTGAACTTTGATCATTTTAAAAGTGTCCACAGCACAAAGGAATATCCACCCCTCCACCTTTGCAACTGTAGAATTTGCATGACACACGAGATGGCCATTAGGTCAAGTGACACTTAATTTTTGAACCAGCATCTCTCCAGTAGACAGTAGATTTCCGATTAAATGTAGAAAGATGCAAAACTAAATTCATGGATGGGCTAAATTGCATTTTCAAAATGCAAAAAAAAAAAATTCTTAGGACTATAAAGATTTAAGGGTTGAGACTAGGCTAGGGCAAAAAACATACCCTGAAGGGCACCAAAGCTGGAATGAATTTAATTAACGTTTGGCTGTGGAAGATGTTTGCTATGTCCTTGATCGTTATTTTGGCTATGTTTGGTGCTTCCCACACGAAGTTCTGAATTGGCACCTAACGCACTGTACCCCTTATCCTACTTATGCTCGAGAGTCTTCGGCACCTTCAATGTATGCTACCCTTTTTGCGGATGACGATCAATTTCATAGTAGTGGGTTGGATCTAAACTTGTGGCCAAATCATTATCTTGGAGCACGCCAGTACCGCAGTAAATTCAGTTTATGTAGGACTTTGGGCGCCATCATAAAGGAAAAATTCTTTCCCCTGAGCTAATAATTAAACAAAAACATTTAAATCAGGTATACTACAAAATGTATCTTCGATTTTAAAATAATTACACATGTTCTTTTTAGGGAAAAGCCACATTGACTTTGATTTCCACTCTACGTTACTGCTTAATGTTTGTGCTACACTTGGCGAGCTTCGATATTGGTCAGAATCCCTTTCCCGACACAGAATCTGCAGTCTAAAAAAATTCTCCACACCATGTAAAGATAAAATGACAACTTGATTGACCACAGATTCACATCCTAACTACGCCTGGGGTCATGTCCCACTATTCCAGTCTCTGTCCACTATCACTGCCCACCAGGAAATCAAAAATGCTCCCTCCCACCCCATTACGAATTTGACAGAAAGAAACAGAGCCTACCAGGCCATCCACACCATGGTCTGCATCAACAGCTCCTACAACATTGTGAGCTACGTGGCCATAAACACCAGGCCATCAACACCATGGTCTGCATCAACAGCTCCTACAACATTGTGATCTACGTTGCCATAAACACCAGTCCATCCACACCATGGTCTGCATCAACAGCTCCTACAACATTGTGATCTACGTGGCCATAAACACCAGGCCATCCACACCATGGTCTGCATCAACAGCTCCTACAACATTGTGATCTACGTTGCCATAAACACCAGGCCATCCACACCATGGTCTGCATCAACAGCTCCTACAACATTGTGATCTACGTGGCCATAAACACCAGGCCATCCACACCATGATCTGCATCGACAGCTCCTTTATCATTGTGATCTACTTGAGCCGGTCGTTGAACAGAGTAAACTTTT